AAGAATGAGTTCCGACTAGAACACACTTATCAAGCAGAGAGGTAAGGCTTTACGATCAAATTAATCTCTAACTAGAAGGTCAACAACACTACGCTACAACAGCTCTCAAAAGCGGCTGCTTTATAATCCATCCGTCTTTTTGGAAGTAAGCAAAATGGATAACAAAAACCAAAATGTGGCCTAAACTTACTGATGAAATATTAATTTCCCATTTCGAGTAGGTCTTACGAACAGCATCCAGTTACATGATTAGAATCTCTCCAATTCCTTTGATTTCTCACTCCTCATCGAAAATAATGAGAACAGCAGAATCATGACAATAATCATTATTATTTCTACCATCATTATAATAAATAGTATCATTATCATCATCACTGTCATAATGTTCAACAAGATGACTATAACCATCATGATCAAGACCGCTCTCGTAATCGCGATCATTATTATTCTGAACCCCAAAAGGACAGAAAAAATTGTAAAGTTGGTGGGACCATAAAAGATCTCGTCAAACACTGAAGGAAATCAGCATGAGAGAAAATCTCTCTGAGTACATAAAGAGAAGACAGAACTGAAATCATCGTTCACGTTGGTTTATAAAGAAAAGGTGACAAAATCGTCTATAACGGCGTTTGCTCGTTGGATAAGAGGATGACAACCACAGCGACTATAACCATTTAAGCAAAAGGTTTACTTATATCAAAAGATTTACTAGATCGTGACACTGGTTACAGCTTAATTTGTATCTCAAATCGAATCGGTCTTCAAAATCTCATAAGTAATTTTTTCTTCTAACTATCTTCTAAGTCCGGATGCATCGTGTAATAAGATGATCATCGTCAAAAAATAAAATAAAATGCCCTTGAATCCTACCTTATAATAAATATGGGAAATGCGACGAATAAAGAACCTGCACATCTCTTCGACAGACGCGTTACTCTTTTCTAAATGTTTCTGCATTTCTTCCATCAGCTTGCACAAATCCTGTTCGCCCTTCAACCTGGAATAAAGAATGAATGTCGTCAGCGCAGAAAGCAGTAAATATGTATACACCAGCAGCTCACTTCTCTACGTATTCTGTACTGTGACAGTCGGCATCCTGTAAGATTTTCGTGAACTCGTCGTCGAGCCTTTCGAGCATTGTTAAAATACATGACCGTATTCTGTACGGCCGAGAGTCATCCTAAGAGATTAAAGCGATCAATATAAAACAATCTCCCACTGAAACAATCCAGAAAAAACTTCGATGATCACCTAAAGCCTGAATATCCTCTCTGACAAATGTCTGAGATATGTGAAAAATAAACATGAATATTTTGACAGACTTTAGACAACTTTTAGACAACAACTCACTGATCCTTCAATGTAATTAGCGACGATAATCATTACCAAATCTCGATATCTATGCTTATTTTTTCTCGTGCGATTTGTCGTCTGAAGTTCCCATATCTGCTGTTACCTCATCGTCCCATTTCAGCTGAGGTCATCCAAATGGGCGTTTGCAGCCCCTTGGCTACCAATCCGTTACTGCCGAAGTATCATTCTCATGAAGTAAACCGGCTCGTAAACCGAGACTGAGGGGCCATGTTTATTTATACTTTCCATTTACAATGATGACGGTAAATGGTTTTGACTACTGTTCATGTATACCAGACGTCTAGAACAAAACGTCCGATTGTTCTTTACATCAACCAAATAAAGTTCCAGATAACGGCTACGTGAGGTTTGCTCAACACCTCCGCCAACTTGGCATAGAGGGATACAAATTTTATCATTAAGTAAGATCTCATTTCTGAGCAGGGTTAATTTTGTACTATCAATAAAGAAATACTCAACATTAACTACTAATCTGGGCGCAGAGCGCTTTAGAAAGATAGCCTTTAAAGAATTACTATGCACATAAATGAGTTAATTCAGAATCTACCCTAAACGTTTTGTACAACACTGGATCAATCATCAGAGGCAATACCGCTCACTGTGTAAACTATTTCTGTGACAGCACCTGAAGATGGTTCCAGAGTTTCGTGCAACATGCGGTTCGTAGAATGGAGTGAATATTTACATGGAATAAGACTTCAAAAGCTATCATAATGAAACACTATCGGCATAAATTTTATCAATTTCTGTTTATAAGTGCTACATTTGAATCATCAGGGCGCCAAACATTGCAGAGCAAGTGCAATACATAGTCGTATCTAGTTTGACTTGCATTAGAACATCTCGCTCTCCCCATTATTCAGAAGTCAATGAATTGCTACCCATGTCTCAGAAAGTTGAGCAAAACTACCAGGGAAAATTTCCTGATCCATGACTTAACAGTAAAAAAGATTTTATGCCGCACTTGTACTCCAACCCCAAAAGTGTGCAAAACCGAAAGTGACAGTGCGCAAAACTGAACGACCTTCTACTGGGCCCTGAACTCAGTATTTCACGTGTGATTAAACAGAGGATGAACACGATATACGGTAGGAAATCCATTATAATGCACTTAAAGGCAATCCGAAAGAAATTTTTTTATTTTATCCATTTTGGCCACGGTGGAAATTTATCCACCATTTATCGATTTTCTTCACCTTACCACACAGAACAAGACATTGGCATTTCAAATCAACGCATCAATAATCAATAAAACGACTTTATAGTATTCTATCATTTCAGAGTAATTAAAATAACTTATGGAGTATCAAATGTTAAAAGTTATAAAAGAACACTGTCATGGGGAGGGATAAAGGTGGAACAGGAATAAAACCCCCAGATATTATACCCACTTGTTTTTAAATCATATTTTTACTCATGAAGTTATAAGAGTGAAAGATGACAGAGTTCCTGCAGTCAATTCTATTATATGCTACAACAATGAAATTCAGCTTTAAGATGACCATGCATCCTACATTCGCACGTTCAGAGGTAGATCATCTGATTACACGAGCAATCGCTGTTTAACAGTACTACTGAAAGAAGAACGGAAGAGAAAAACAACTTGGTATTCCTGCAATTAAAACGGTGAAAATCCTCAACTTTCCCGTTTATTTATATGAGATAAACAAAATCTATACTCCGCATTCCTCATTTGAGCTCAAGTTAAGCTTTTCTGCATCGAAAGGTCAAAGTAGCAAAAACCAAAGTCGTTCGACGAAGCTGCGGAGGATTAATCATTTCCGCATTAATTACTTGCAATAATTTTTATAACTTACTTATCAAATCAATGAATTATTGAAAACCACCAATAGCAATGGATGGTTTTTTTGCATCATTCAACTGATTTTGGCCAGGGCTACATTTAACTATTCTTTAGCAAAGCTTTTAGGGTGTAGAAAAACACTGTTAACCTTACAAGCGAGCAGGACCCTTGAATAAGTCATTTATTGTGTTAAGAACCCATCAATATTGCTAATAACAACTAACATAAGTCATTTAATACTCCGTACTGGAAATAAAATTGAATAACAGGGGATCAAATACAGGGTGCAATGTCAGTAAAGAAAATATCACCGGCAACAAAACTTGTTTAACATGTTATTACGTTGTTCTCGATACCTCGGAAAGTGAAATACAAAGCTGTAGCAGTGGCATATTCTGTAAAAAATTTGCTTTACACTTTAGAGATGATGTATTCAAACCACATACATGGTGTAAAATGTTTTCTTACTGACTGCTAATTTTCTTGAGCAAGAAATTAACCCCACTGTGCGTCGGTGCTACTGAATAATATGCAATACGGATACAATACTTCTACAACCTTACTACAGAATAATTATTTAAATAAGAAATTAGTTTAAAGTTCGATTCAAAATCAAATTTTACTAGTAAATACCAAACCTTAATTATACAGAATCACCGATATACATGTTTTGCTAGGGAACAGGTTCTATAAGTTTTAACTCACATACAAAGGAACCACGACACTGCAAACAAGAAAACTCTTCACAACTTACTTTCCTGATTTGTGGTTCAAGGTACAATTAAAACACGCTAAAAAATTCTTTATTTACCGACAGATTTAGATTTTGTACACTAGCGTCATCATCGGTGAAACTTAACAAAAGGACTGAACAACGTGTGGCAAAGCTACGAATAAAAACAGACAATACGACAGTACGTGAAAATTATAGTACAGTACGTACCGTCAATTACAAAAATACAGGAAGAATTGTTATAAAATTTGCAGGAAGAATTGTTTAAATAACGAGAACAATTTCAAAAATGAGACCGTCAACAGTACCTCAAGCTATGAAATCTCTCATTTTATGGATAGTATAAAATCATGCAACGATATTATATGAAGCACGCTTTGGCACCAGAATGTCAATTACTATCATTTTTTATTGCAGAATAAAATTTTTGGAGAAACGTAAATATTTAGAAAACTTACTATCACGTTCTCGTTTTCTTCAGAAACGTCTTCGCCGCAATGAATCTCTGGATGTTCCAACAACAGCTGTGTTAAAATACCGATATGGATCAGAGCACTAAAAGATGTTTTCAAAATCAGCTGAAAATCCGATTAAAAGGTTTAAAATGCAAATAAAACACAAAAGTAACTTCTTAGTAAAGATTTTCAGAGATTAAAAACTCAGAATCGTTACTTCTTTAAATTCTGTTAATCGTTTTGGATATGAGGAATTCTATCATATTCTCAAAGTAATGAAAGCTCTTAAAATTTGCAACATTTTTCCAGTAGGTTCAGATAAATGATATAATGGGCACGCTATTCATTCTCTACGATGGAAAATATGACAGTTACTCCATATGCCTGCCTCATATGAAAGTCGACCAATGTGTTCTATGTGCAAGACTATGTAAGTAAAAATTAACCTTAGCGCATCATCGTATAAAATAAAGCATGATGTCAATGAAAGACTGAATGCTTAGCATGATATGAAAGATTTTCTCTCATTATTTCTATTTTACTTCCTAAGAAAGAATCTGACGCTGCATTAACGTCAAAAATCTGCGAACCACTTATCAGCAGAAAAGTTTTTAAAATTTGCCAAAGAAAAACTCAAGAGTCTTCAACGCGATCTGCGGATAATTCCAGGAGGAAGTCCAACTGCCGATAACACTCTCGATCAATTGGCGGTCAGTGCTTAACAAAGTGCGCAACTGCGTGCTCAGGATACTTTGTAACATCTGTCGTGATTTTTCCCACTGGAAAGACCGACTGTGTACTGGCTGGCGACAAACAGCAATATGACTGAAATATTGCTAAAGTCATAATGATTATTACACCCTACACGAAATTCATAAATGGAAAACATTAAAATGAAACAAATCAGCGAATATAAACGAAAACAATGATTACTTGCGCCATGCATCGTGAACCATGCAGTCGGCGTTCTTCTGGTTGCAGTCGAAGTAATTGGCGACAATCGCGAAGAGCACCTTTGCATCCAATGGCTTCCCGAACTTGTTCGCGTCGATGATGGTCCGCAATTCAGCAAGCATTTCCAGCTGTAACAGGGCACCTGGGAGACTAACGCCTCGAAAGGAACGAAGGCCGCAAAAATATTGTATAATCACTTACCAGCGCTCTTGTGTCGGTTCCCTTCTTCCCACGCACCATCATAATCTCGTTCAGTTTCTTCAACACGTCTTCTCGGGTTATTTCTGCATCTTTCTCGAACATCTTCGGCTTCTCCTAAAACGGACTTTATCTTCGCCACAAGAACAACAAATTGCTATCGTTTTGACAGTAGTAACGAAATCTACTTACGACAATCATTGGCACTCCGGCAGACACCTGTTTCCAATCGCCTTCGTCTTCTTCACGGTCTTCCAACACCTTCTCTTTTTCTTCTCGCCGCTTTTTTCTGTCAACCTTTTTCTTTGCCTTCTCGTATTCGTCTTTCGTAGTGCTCCTTCAATAAAAAATAACCAGTACAACCTCCGTTCAAACTACAGTTTGCCTGACGGCAAAAAATTGAACTGTTGAATCAGCCTTAACGTGTTCAAAGTCAAAAAAATGTACAGCGAAGCGGAGACCGCGTAAGTGAATTGTGCAGATTAATTATTGCATTCAGATCATGTCTCGTGGATTTTGTTAATTTCTGGATTCGTGTAAAATTTCCGTGTCAGCAGATGCACTGCTACATTTTTTGTGGTCACACCATTGACCTTAAGGCATCTGCAGGGTATCTCTTATTACCTGTATCTGCTTCAAGAATTTTTGCAATAAGACAGTAATCCGCTTTTTATACAAGTGTCTACGACTTATAAACTAGACCGGAACAGACTGACCACATTCGCTAGTTGTTTTTTCTCCCCTGTAGAACCTTACTAGCAGAACCATTCTTCAGTGACATAAATTTGAAGTTGGTGCTTGGTATGTAAAACAGCTCTGCAGCGAGGTCGGTCTACATTAGCAGCATTGGGTTGGTGCCTAGCTCCCAACCCATCACTGTATCTCTTCACTTGTGCATATCTAATGTTTCGTCAAGCCACAACATCATTTAAGAAGCTCTAATGCTAATGACCACTGATGAAAACGTCGATCTACCCAACCGACATGTATGATCACTTCGATTCAATGAAGATTACACGCTAATTTCTATATTTGTGTCACCAGACAGGAATATCGTACTGTTTTCGAAAGTTAGATCTACAGCTTTTTAACTACTGTAGCGTGTAGTCGCCTATTTACTTCCTAAGAAAGTGGTATCCTTCCGTTTGCCTTAGCAATAAAAACAGCATACCCTGACTAGGACCCAAAACTATGACCTCATAATTCTAGATCCAACGTTCTACCGATCAGCATAATGAATGCATAGAAAACGGGCTACGAATTTTAATCATATTCTGTTTCATGTAAAATCTGACTGTTTTGGTAAGACAGATTCATGAACCACTGGTACAATATTACTCACTTTAGAAAAAATTTTCTCATTTCTTCCATCTTTTTGCCAGTGAGGTCTTCCAACTCTGATTCAGAAGAACTGCTCATGACCCATTCATCGCTGGACTCCTCTTCTGATGACTTAAAAAACACGACACGTAAAATTCAAACATGGAATTCTATTAAAAAATTTATAATACCTCGCCTTCAACCTTCCTTGGCTTTTTCCTTTCTTTTTCCACTTCGGGAGCTGACGGAGCAGTCGTTTTCAGATAACCATAGCCTTCTGGCTCCGACTCTGATTCTGATGCTAAAAGATCTTGCAGTGTAACTAATAATTCAGAAGTGGTGATTTATTATTTACCAGAACCTTCCACTGATGAGTAGCCTGCCGGATCAGGTTCCTGGAAAACGAACTAGTTTAAACAATTATTTAATAACTTTACTCCAGTTTACCTCTCGGTACTCCGCTGTTTCCGTTTCAAAGTCTCGAATATATTTACGAAATCGCTGTCGCAACGTCGTCAGACCGCGAACATTGTTTTTGCTCAGGT